CCCAAAGATTGCTAGGCGAGCGCCCTAACCACCTGGTCATGCTGGGCCTACTAGTTCTTTTATGACACACAATCGGAATGCTATTCATGACTACGCTGTATGTTTTGAAAGAATTAATATCTGAGACGCAAAATACCAGGTACTCACTACCCGCCGACTGTTTTAAGAAGGTATATGCTTATTTGCAAAAAAAAAAAAAAACACGATTTATGTAATATAATGTAGTTTTGTAACACTCTGAAAAAAACCTCTAAGCCTTCCCAAATAAAACTTATAATTGTCAACGTGCTTCTAGTGGTATTGTGTTCACCTGGACCAAAGCTTTAAGACATAATCATTTTGAACAGAGAATTTTCTTTAATAATCTCGTTTGGAATACTTTTCATCGTGTCTGGTCAATGAGGTTTTAAATGACACACGATAATGACCCTACATGTAAATAAACCAGTCTAACTTTATAGTTTGTTATTACCTTCTTATTGTACATATTCCATACACGCGTGGTGGTGGGAGAGACTCTTTTTTTGAGCTAAAACCGTCACGTGACTCAAGAAAATATAAGTCTATTCGTAAAACCATTTCTAAGTATAAGATATATATATATATATAACTTTAATATCTCCTTCATTTACAACGTTAACGTAAATTCCTGACATTATACACGATACTTTTTCACCATCTATAGGTGACCACAAAACGTACTCTACAATGACTTAAGCACCAGAATACAGTGTGAACGATTAGGCTTTTTTACCAGCTAGAACAGTGACATTTGTATACATTTATGCTTATAAGAAATAAGCCTAAAAAACAGCTGTAATCTCTTCCTAAAATTCACCAAAGATTACGGCACTAGCTTACCCAAAACGCAGGTAATGTCCATGTGAAGATATACTTAAAACAACGACAAGTTTCACAGTTATTTTTAGTTAAGTTACACATGCTATATAAACAGAGATTTTCTGACTATGTATATATGATTATAGTACAGGCTTATGTTATTTTATTTTTATCTGATTTAAAAGCGAAACCTTATCAAAGTTGTTTTTTTTTTTAATAGACGCGTTCTTAAATCACTCAGAGGGTTCTGTTTCTCTTCTGTTGGCAGTTTTCGTTTGTTCTTTTCCCGGGTTTTCCACGTGGTCGACAAATGAGAAGCTTTTGTCTCCGTTATTAAAAAGAAATACAAGAAGATACTCCAACGTTACACAGAATACAGAAGACAGTTGATTAATCGTGGCATTAATACACTCTCTTTATACACAAGTTTGTACAGTATATCCATCGACAGGTGACGTTTATCTCGTCAGTGACTGCTGCTTGCTGACTGGGAAGAATTACAATCTATTCCTTCAAGATAGTTTTCACTGTCTGTCCGTGACACCTGCTGCGGCAAAGTAAAACTGGAGTCCCCCTGATCAGCTGATGGGGGGGATAGGTGTTTTAGAGCAGCGATGTCCAATGAATCGGAAAGGTCCCCATCTGTAGACAGGGGGAGAGGTTTTTCTGGAGGATCAATGGTTTCGGTGTGCGTTTGTTCTGATGTACCGTCACCAGGGGGCGTCTTAGAGTCTATATGTTCTTGGGGTTTCTTGGATTGCTTCTTTTTACTAGTAGCCGTGTCCGGTTTCTCAGAGCTGCTACGAAGTTCAGCTGCCTGGGCGTTTGTTATACCATCTTTTTTCTTCCATTTTGTTCTCCTATTCTGGAACCAAATCTTTACCTACAAATACGAAATAAAGAAGTTCAAAGTTTGTATTTACTGGTGTGAAGAAACAAGAGAAACTTTTATTGACAAGTACAGTATCAGAGGGACATTTATTGACAAGTACAGTAATGGAGGAACTTTTATTGACAAGTACAGTATTGGATGGGCTTTTATTGACAAGTACAGTATTGGATGGACTTTTATTGACAAGTACATTTATTGACAAGTACAGTATTGGATGGACTTTTATTGACAAGAACATTTATTGACAAGTACGGTATTGGATGGACTTTTATTGACAAGAACATTTATTGACAAGTACGGTATTGGATGGACTTTTATTGACAAGAACATTTATTGACAAGTACGGTATTGGATGGACTTTTATTGACAAGAACATTTATTGACAAGTACAGTATTGGATGGACTTTTATTGACAAGCTGGCCTGTACGGAATAACTCTATCAAAAAGTTGGACATTTTTAGTTGTTTTTTTTTAAGACTGTAAAAATTATTAAATCAATTTTGACTATGTGATTACGTTTCTAAAAAGAAATGCAAAGTGTAACAGCCCATCTTGCTGTGCGTATAAATATGGTGATAAGTGTGTATTTTCACCGTCTGAGGAGAAACCAGATAAATATATTCCTGTGATTCAATTAATATTAAGCTTTATCTTGTGCGATTTTTTCAATAAACATTTTGTACTTCTTAAATAATAAATTATTAACACACCTTGATTACACTTATATTTGTAACGTGTCTTCATTGCGGAGCTACTGCCGCTGTTCTTAATTTGAAATAGTGACCAGAGCGAAGGCAATCGGTCAACAGTAACTTACTGCCCACAAAAGACGTTGAAACATTGACTGTCACTCTTATAATGCACACACAGCTTAAAGTGAATGATGATATTCTGTGGTGTTGCACGCATTCGAATCCGGAACGCCAGCTCCGAAATCCAGAGGTCTTTCATAGGGCCACGCCCGATAAGCGTAAGAAACGGTTGTAGGAAAATTCATTCCCAGTATTTTCACTCTCGGTAAATTCACTCCCTGTAATAATTTATTTATATCGAAATATATGGTGTAGTGTTCCATAATCGCTGTTGGCTGCAGTAACCGAATAACTGAATATTTCGATGGTTGCGTGTCATCTATTGAAGGTCTTACCAATCTACCAACGGCAGTTGACAGCAGTAGCTGTCAGATGTAGGATAATTCACTCCCAGTACAGTCACGTATAGTAATTATCAAAACACATGTATACAAGGAATAGCTCGTAACTTGCATCACTTTTAATAAATCTTACTTTTATTGTTGATAATTTTTGACGTTAATAAATTATTACAAGGAGTGAAATGTATGAGGAATCAAATTTCTGGGTACGGTTTGAAACAACGCAGATGGAAATGAATTGGTCAAGTAACCAGAAATAATCCATTGGAGATCATTAAAATAGCACCTAATAGTACTCCAAATAATAGTTTGTTTGAATTTAAGCACAAGGATACGCAGTGAGCTAGGTGTACTCTGCCCACCACAGGTACGAAACCCGGCCTCTAACGTTATAAATCCGCATACATACCGCTGTGCTACTGGGGGGGGGTAAATAATAGTAAAACAGAGAAAGACCAGAGGAAGCCTGGAGGAGAGTGATAGAAGGTAAGACCAAAGGAAGCCTGGAGGAGAGCGAAAGATGGTAAGAATAGAGAAAGCCTGGAGGAGAGTGATAGAAGGTAAGACCAAAGGAAGCCTGGAGGAGAGCGAAAGATGGTAAGAATAGAGAAAGCCTGGAGGAGAGTGATAGAAGGTAAGACCAAAGAAAGCCTGGAGGAGAGTGATAGAAGGTAAGATCAAAGGAAGCCTGGAGGAGAGCGAAAGATGGTAAGAACAGAGGAAGCCTGGAGGAGAGCGATAGAAGGTAAGACCAAAGGAAGCCTGGAGGAGAGCGAAAGATGGTAAGAACAGAGGAAGCCTGGAGGAGAGTGATAGAAGGTAAGACCAAAGGAAGCCTGGAGGAGAGCGATAGAAGGTAAGACCAAAGGAAAGATCTGAAGAGACAGTGAAAGGTTGTTATAAAAAATGGTGAAATAGAGTTAAGTTGACCAAGACCTATCTGTCCACCCGTCACGAGGAGGATAATAAGTAATCTTGTATCGAGTTTGCACCATCTTTCGCCTGGACATGGTGTGTCACAAACTCCTCTGCCTGGAACCCGATACGTCACGTATACAAATTACTGAAGTTTTCTACAAATCCGTGATGTGCGCAAATGGTCTTAACTCTTAAATTAACTCTTGGTGCACGTTTGGCAACATATTGAGTAATTTTACGTTTCTGCCTGTTTTACATCGCTGGCAAATAAAAACGTTAAGTGAAATCGTTCTTTAGAAAACTGTCTGGTGTTTTTAGTATATTTTTGTACGACCCTTACGTTATTAGAAACCATGTAACCAACAAAGTCGTGAATCCACAGGCATTTTAACACATAAATAATTTCAGAAATGATGTGCATAAAAAAACCATTGTGGTAGACACGGACCTATTGGAAAGCAAGAGGAGATGAATAATGAAAATTAATGTATATATATATAAGATGAAATGTGTGTTTGTTTGCATCATAACTCATTCGAGCCTATTGGGCCAATCTCAACCACAATTTGCATGTAAGCTCTATGAACTATGGGGAATGTCCCAAGAGGGTCAAAATTGAACTTAACCCTATTTCTATCTTGTAAAGCCTGTTGGTTAATTACTCCCTGCCTATTGAGTCAATCTCAAACAATCCTGGCAGGTTGACGCTTTAGATAATGTTGAATATTCTAAAGGGATTGAAGATCAAAGTATGAAAGTTGCTGGATTGTTTCTTAAACAACCATGCTTTTCTCATGGTCAATGAGATGTAGGATGTTCAAGGGTGGGATCACCTCAAAAGTTTTTATTTGTTGGTAGATGGAAAGCAAACTGGAAATGTTGTTTATGAAGAAGCTTTGTTATAATTTTAAAACTTTGAGATAAAGTTTATGTTCAAGTTATTACTTTGAAATATATGATTGTTGTTAAACTTACACTGTTTCAACTAAGTTTAAACATTCCCCGTCAGTTGACGGGGATTTCAGCTTGTGTCATTATGCATCAGATAGGAGACATGTCTAAGTATGCTGTAAGTTAAGTTTAATTTGTACCCCCCCCCCTAAACATACTAAGTAAGTGCACGAGATAGCCGTGTGGTAGAGCTCTTTATATCGGAACTGGTGAGCCAATTTAGAATCCGTAAAATACAATGAAATACCTATCCCCCTACACACACAAACGTTTGGCTGTGGATGCGTTATAAGAGTGACAGTCAATTCTTCAACGTGGGTCCAAAATGCTATGGCACTGCTGCCTGCCTGCCATTTTATCAGTAGTTCAAAATTATAGATGATGGCGGATAGTCTTCCTAGCTTTGCTATAACTAAAAATTATAGATGATGGCGGATAGCGTTCCTAGCTTTGTTATAACTAATAATTATAGATGATGGCGGATAGTCTTTCTAGCTTTGTTATAACTAATAATTATAGATGATGGCGGATAGTCTTTCTAGCTTTGTTATAACTAAAAATTATAGATGATGGCGGATAGCGTTCCTAGCTTTGTTATAACTAAAAATTATAGATGATGGCGGATAGTCTTTCTAGCTTTGTTATAACTAAAAATTATAGATGATGGCGGATAGTCTTTCTAGCTTTGTTATAACTAAAAATTATA